AATATTACCTACAGTAATTTAGACCTTCCAAACTACAGTAAGTGGACATGGCAAAAATACACCATGGATAGGTATCCCAGCCAAGGCAAGCTTGTCTGCGTGTACTGAAGCCACACGGCCCCTGCCCAGCTCTCCACCAGTTAATAGCTCAGTGACTCCTGCTACAGTAGGCCCGCAGCCCAGAGCAAAAGACCTGTGGCATCTCTCTCGTCTGCCCTCCAGGCACACCATCCTCAGCTCCCACTTCCACCTAGAGGAAACCTGCTGCCGCCATGAAAGCAAAGTATCGTCAGCTGCTGCCCAGTTCTCCATAGCAACAGAAGCAATTAGACCTCAATTAAGCCTATGTTGAGTGAAATGCGAATATTTAATCGAGTCAACCTTTCACCGTGTACATGGTTTTGAAGAAGCAGGCATCTGAAAATACCTCTATAAAACTCAGCATGCACATTCAATACTCGAATTCTCTGGGTACTCACAACAATGTACGTTTTGTGGTACCTTAGCTATTGTTAATTACAACATAAAAGTGGTCAAACTCTCCACACAAAATAATATGAAATGTGAAGGATAGTCATTCAAACAGCCAGAAAACAAAACTTTGGGATCTGACCACAAGACAACAGCCGCAAGTACTACAGCTGCTGTTTTAATACCCAACTGCCTCCTTTGAGTTATAAATAGTATCTCAAAGTAACTATGAACTGCTAAATTAAAAAGCTCTGATCCATATCTTTCATTTTCTTTGTGAAGCCATATAAAGTCGACGAATACAACAGCATTAACATGCTTGTGATCTCTTATTAGTTACTATCAAGGACATGCAAGGACCTGAAATACCTAAAGGGCAGCCATGCATTTGTTGCCTACAGAATTAGACAAGGTCATCTTTCCATAACTTTAGGAACCTATTACAATATTTCACAAAGGTTTCTCTGGGAATATAAGAGCTTGCATTCGACGGACCAGTTTTGAGCTTTGATCCAGCTGGAGGGTTTGTATATTGATCTCCAATTCTAATTTACAACGTACTATATAAACTGCAAAACAACAGCGAAGAGCTGCTCACGTCATCGAGAGGGAAAAACTGCTTTAATCCTAACAACGATTCGCTCCAGCGCTTAAAAGAAAAAACTAGGGGAAAACCACAAATCCCATTACTGTCTTTTCCAAATGGATACACCATTGCAATTTATAAACTGTAAAAAAAAATAAAATAAATGTAATCCCAGTGCTGTCATGTTTTCTTAAATCATGACTATACACTTTCAAGTCTTGACAATTGCTTGTTTTCTATGGAGTGGTTTAGGAAAAGACTAACAGGTTTGTACTGGATGCGAACAGTATGAACTGCGTGCTAGATTCAACTTCTTTCTGTATCACAGAGTTAATACAGATACCCCTGAATACAGGAAGAAGACTAATTTAATTAAGCATTCTATGATAGATGAAGCTAAGAAATGTAAAGTCAATTAATTCTCAATAAGGTTTCAAGGACTTAAAAATCCTCTTCAGCTTTTGCCTGCTGTGGCTGAAAGGAGCTAGGTAAGGATAATTGCTTATTGGTAGCTCTTCTGCACATATTAAGGATACTTTAAAAAACGACGTTGACAAGGACATCACTCAAGAGTATTATTAATACAGGATATAATTACACACTGGATACTGTAAGCAAATGATTGCATTCGTACATAAATTACGCATCGGCACTGTAGTTGACTAAATCTCATTTCCATATTGTCATGCTTGCAATCAAAAACTGTTCATTTAATTTTTATTTTCAAGGCCCTTGTTTCATGCATGTGATAATTCTTTACAAACCGAAGGGCAGAAACGTGGCACTTCATTTGATAATGACTACATTTCAGACGGGCTCAGGTCCACGTACAGTTTTAAACAGACGAGCTCTGACACGTGCCCCCTGCAGAGCTTTCCGAAGAACCATACTTCTTCAGCAGTAGCCGTCTGTGCTTTCATCATGCATGCATTAAGAAGTATTAAACTGCGCCATCTACAGGACTGTACCAGCAAGTGCTTCCTTCAGGATTTACTGCTGCATGCGCATCAATATGCAGAACACTGCTGCAAAATGAAAATGTAACATTTCAGGTTTCTACAAAAACAGTTTAAGGAGCATAATGTAATTTTACCTTTAAACAGTGACCAGACAGGTTTCTTGATTCTTTGAACATAAAGATTATGAACAAAAGGAGGCCGTTTGAACCACCTTGTTTGGTTGCTTACAGCCATTTGATGCTACGACCTCCTCAGACAGCTTCTGGAAATATGTCAGGGTGTGAGGTCTGAAAACGGCTGGGTAGCTTGTTCTTTGCCTACACTGCCATCCAGAGAGAAAAGATTTTAGTCAGTGAGGAAATAGTAAGAACTACTTCAGTAATGACGGCTGACTATTTGCAGGTGCCTGCGAGAGAAGTTTTCCAGAATACAGGTTTCTGCTTCAGTCAAGAGACTAGTTCAGGGAACACAGTCAACAGGCCATGTCCTGTAAGGTAGGTCACAACTGTGTCATCTGTGTAAGTGACTTTGGAGAATACTGTGGTTCTATAATACAAAATCCAGGAAGAAATACTATTTGCATTAGTACACAGAAAGTAACTCACTGGATACATGAAAATTATTTACAAACTGGGAGGTCATTCAGTGGCAATGTTTACAGCCGAGAAATGAGATCTCATCTTCTGTGGGCGTCTTCTGAGGTTTTGTCAGAGGGAGCAATGAAGTTTCTTTTCCATGATCATTCTGCCTTGATTGACCTGACAAGATTGTGTGGGGAAAAAATAGTCATGGAAAAACCTTGTCTGTGAAGCCACTTTGCAAGGGTCATCAGGAGACAACTACAACCGGCCATCGACTACGTGCAGCCGTGCAAGTCTCACTGAAGTTACACCCCATACAAACTTTTAATGTTTCAATTTTTGTCATCTTTCACAGTAAAAAAAAAAAAGTATATAAATGTTACCACAGAACAGGTAGTTTCCCCTAAAAAACAGCACTAGAAGCTAATATTTCTAGTATTCAAGTCTGCAAAACCCTCTGACGTGTTAAGTCAATTAAAAAACAAATTAAGAGTATGTACTAGAGGAACTGAGTGAAATGCGTCTCTCAATGTTACAACAGCTGCTGCTCAGCTAAGATTTGAACCCATGAGAATGACTAATAATTCACTCAGATATAGGTTCCATTCCTAACAACGGCATCGATTTAAACACAGTACACAAGTCAATTCTGTGGACGAAAGAGGCATGCCAGCCTTCTAACTATATTACTTGAAACTCATGAAAATTGAAAGAGGGAGACCTCGTGGGAAAAACTAAGGTTGCTGCTGGAAGAGGTGTTAGTGGGGCCAGTAGGGGGGCGGTCACCCTGCAGTCCACATGGGTCCTAATGCCCCAGTATAGTGATGGGGACAGATGAGACGTAAAACTAACGTCCTGACTCTCTGTGGTCACTAAAAATCCCAGGGCATTTCTTGAAAAGAGTAGGGGTGTAACCCCGGCGTCCTGGCTAAATTTCCCATTAGCCCTTACCAATCATGGCCTCCTAACAATCCCCATCTCTGAACTGGCTTCATTACTCTGCTCTCCTCCCCACTGATAGCTGATGTGTGGTGAGCATTCTGGCGCATTATGGCTGCCGTCCCATCATCCAGGTGGATGCTGCACATTGGTGGTGGTGGAGGGGAAACCCCATTACCTGTAAAAGCACTTTGAGTGGAGTGTCCAGAAAAGCGCTATATAAGTGTAAGCAATTATTATTAAAACTTAAAAAACCAGTGGGTGGGGAAACCTGATGTGTTATAAGATCCACCAAATGTTGGAAGGCAAAAGAATTGGTGCATCATGAAAACGCTGCACCCATACTGCATGCAACTTACAGTGAGAATTTCTGAATCCATACACCAAGTGCAGAACTTACCAATGCCATGCAGTCTTGCTGATCAGTCAGGCCACAACTTTGAGGACAAAGAACAGGAAAGGAACTGTATTTACTAGCTTTGTGCATACACAACCTTTTCTGTAATTACTTTGTGCCTTCGGTAATGCACACTGGGAAAAAAAACAACAGTTGGCACATTGGGCTAATTACTCACAAAGGTAATGAACTGAATGATTAAAGGGCAATGCTGTGCAGTTCACAGAGGACACTTTATAACGCCACTGACTTCTCGGACTGTAAAAAGATCAAGTTGCACTGCTCTACAAATGTGTTTACCCCCCTGTCCCTGTGTTCCCCTGGACCCTTCATGAGTCCAGTATGAGATGACAGTTCAATCATCAAAGCACCAAATGCAGAAAAAATGTGCTATACTCATGCAGTACAGCAATTTATATATACTGTACTATATATCTACTGATATGGATAGTTTAGTCTTTTTATAGTGAATTCTGCATTTATCTGTTATTCAAAAAAATATACATTCCGATCACATTATTTTAATAATAATGTTTCTTTATTAGCCCTATACAATTTCTTGCATTAGGAATGCGTCTTTTTGCATACCCCAGCTTTTCTCCAAGGAGACACAGACACAGAGACAGGGAGAGAAGCATTGTACGGCACCCCTGGAGCAGTTGGGGTTAAGGGCCTTGCTCAGGGGCCCAACAGAGTAGGATTCCTCTGCCGGCCGCGGGATTTGAACCGGCAACCTTCCAGTCACAGGTGCAGATCCTTAGCCACAGAGCCACCGCTCCGCCCCTGCAGAGGTGGCACTGTCCTCTAGTTAAAGAAATAAAAGCACCCAGACTAACCTCAATAACCTCAAGCCCAGCCTAGGCTGGAAACCTCATGAAGTCCAGGTTGTCTGTATTCAGTCTTGGGCGAGGGAAAGGTTTTGGTCATATTTTAAAAATAAACAACAATAAAGCATCATTTACAGCACTGTGAACATATAATGTTTATCACGATTTTAGAGCACCCATTTGACAATGTGAAAATGCACTTATTTCAAAATGGGATGATACTGTCACGTTTCAAAGTAAAAAAAAATAAGTTCTTTTTTCTTTAAAAATGATTTTATTAAGTCATACAGTGGTATACTTAGAAATGTGTTGCAAAGAAAATAAAGAAAATGAAAAAAAGTCAGCCACACGTGAAGAGTTAATATCGGATTTAAGCAGTGTTATAATATCTAAAGAAAATAGTACTGCTGTGCCATAATAAATTGTCTATTAGTACAAAAATACATTTTAGGGCACACAGTACAGCATCCAGTATCACAAATTACTGAAGGGAACACTTCTCAAAGCTGACCCTTTAAAGTACAGAATTTGAAATTCTCTTAAACCAAGCACTTTGTTTTGTAAATAAGCATAAAAAGTTCTGTGACAGATAAAAATGTTTATGTAGTGCGGGTGTATATATTGGTAGAAAAGTTGGATTACTGCTAAGTTACAAGTTCCAAGGCTCAAGGGTATACCAGAATACAAAGATATTCTTTTCTGAGAAACCATTTTTTCAGTTTAGTTTTATACAAAATAACAAAGACATACAAAAGTTCATTTACAAACCAAGAACCAAGGCGAAATACTAGCAGTATGTACAGCCAAACTTTCAGCATCTTGTTTTTAATCAAATGCATAGCGAAAAAAGAAAGCATACCTTCATCAGCCTCTATTGTTCTTGTGTGCTAAACCCAAGTTCACTTTATACAATGGGTCAACAATGGAAAAAGATACCTTCTTTCATAATTTATCATCATCATAACTTAAAAAATCAAATGTCCCTAAGTAAAGAAAAATATATAAACTTCAAAATAAAAGTGAATAAGGGTAAGGCATCCCTGCTTGTTAATATAAGAGTGAGAGTAAATGTACAAGTTTGAGCAGGCACCTGAACCATAGTCATAGCACATGCATAGTTCCCTTTAAAATGGGAGAGTTCCAATGCTATTAAAAAAACAGTATGCTCTAAGGTAAAATGCTGTAAAATGATTAATGCTAAGCCAAAACAATACAGCCTGTTACAAGTATAAGCTGTATTTGAAAAACCATTCACAACTGTCAGCCTTTTAAACATTTTAAGATGCTTGCCTACGTCAAAACTCGTCAGAGGTGGAGTCTGCCAAAGCCTCCACAATCTCTTAAGTGACCACAGTCACAGTCACTTTGTCAATCTAATAGCAATAAAAATGCTATTGATACAATTTCAACTTACTTCCACTTCCCCTTTAATAACCTTCTAATTTATGGAAATCATCACAAAAGCAGTTAACTAGGAAACTTGGCTTAAAATGTGATTCAAAAATTTCTGGCACTGGGCATGCATTTGAACAATGGTTCAAGAGTCTAGTTCTTTGCAAACTTTTAAGCACCTAGACAAACAGCACTTAAAAGAGAACTTGAACACTGCCTTCCTGTAAGTATAGTAAACAATGTCTGAGAGAGCAGTTAATACTTCATTAAGTGGTTTAGTCCCAGTCAAAGGACTCAAAATCCCAGTTTTCACATCCAACAGACCAGCTGCTTCCCCGCTTCAAAAGTGGTCAATGAGAACAGAGACACAGTTTGCTCCAACAAGATAGTTAGGGTCTCCAGGAAGGGATTTGTTCTGCCAGCTCTTTGGGTCACCTGGAGGAGGAAAAGGAAAACACAAATCCAAAAAAATTGAAGTGATAAGAATGATGACAAAACACTTGATCCACAATACAGTTAAAACTGTTGCTAACAATGACACCGAATACATCCTCCCTATTACATCTTCATCCAGCAAGAGCAGCATCAGTAAAAAAAAAAACCCACAAGGCTTCAGAATTTGCCTGTGATGTTTGACATTTCTTTTAATTTCTTAATATGTGCTTAATAGTTGAGTTTCATTCGGTATTAAATGTCAAAATCAAGGCATTCCACAAAAATCCCAAAATGTCAAAAGTGTTAAGTCATACACCGGAATGGGCTCAAAGCAAGGTCTCCCATTCCAGTCACTGTAGTACTCCTAACCAATTAGTAACTGGAATGCTGAGAGTAGAACACAGCTTTACATCCCACTTATAATGTCAATATTATTTTTAAACACATTTGGTGTTTTATTTGCAGGAATGTCATATCACACTCACTGCTCAGTGTGTGCTTAGGTTTCTAGTACTGAATAAAAACCCAAAACATCTCAATATCCCATTCACATAACTGAAATACACTATCACAAGATCTCCAGATCAAACTCTCCTTTTAGAGCTTTCTAATTATTTTTTTTTCCAGGAACCTGTTAAACTGCAAAAGTTATGGCCTCTATAATATATGGTGTACTACTAAAAGTACATAGTTTGTTTCTAGTTTGTGATAGTAAGACAATGATGAACGATAGCCCACATCTAAAACTTAAAAAATCCAACAAACAGCGGCAAAATTTGAAGTTTCTTTAAACAAGACTAAAATGCAGTGAGAATAATTTAGGCTGCAAGGGTTTCAGTTTGGAAGCTTTTGAAATAGAAACTGTAATTAGAACAGGAAAATACTTCAAAGCATTGGCTGAAGTGAGACGTTCATAAAGACGCAAAACCTAAATTAACTGAAAGAATAGTCTTGTTGTATATTAAGAGGATTAAACTGCAGCCAAGCAATCTGCCTATAATAACAGTAAGGCAGCAAATGAGACTAGAGTCCAATTTATCAGTTGTTCTCCAATTCAAGACTGGGTAATTAACTTACTAATCCACAGAAATGCCAATCATACAGTGAAGAAGAAATCCGTTCTATTTTTTCTTCTTAACCATGTGATACAGCAGAATCAAAAACATGAGATGTATACCACTTTCTTGTTACAAATGAAGATTAAAACAATGCAATCATGAACTAGTGTGTTACACAATCCAGATCTGCAATGCTAACAATGAGTGCATTTCAAAAGATGAAACATTAAGTATGTTTTAAGGGTTAAAAGATCACTATTATATGTTCCTTAAGGAACAGTCTCCTTCAGATTTGACTTATGATATACTGGTTTATTAACTGAACTGCTTTTTCTTTCTACACCAAAATAACTGTTAAATGAGGGATTTCTAAATGGCCCCAACCTCAACTTCTATTTTAAAATCAAGATTCAAAGCAGACCACTCTTTTTTAACTATGGAGTCCTGCTAATTACATGTAGCTATCTGGTTAACAAATTTAATCCTTATAATCTGGAAAAAAACAAAGCATTCAGAAGACAATCCAAATAAATAATAAAAGCATTGAATTTATATTATATTTAAAAAGTTTTAACCTTCTATGATTTGCACTGCAAAATTAAACAATGAAGATGGTTCAGGATTTGGAAAGAAAGCATAGCACAGGGAAGAGTTTGATCTGGAAACCACCAAAGAAAATGAACTTCGCAGTGACCCACAACCCAAATTATAAGCCACACAAGTAAAGCACCCAGTGACCCCAAGAGGAAAGAGAGAGGACAGCATACCCGACGAGGAGTCGGAGGATTTTAGAGCAAAAGACCAACCATCAGGGGTCATTGACGCACAGTGAGGCAAGCGGAGCTCCACAGGCTTCAGGAACTTCAGACCATGAGGGCCACACATCACCAGAGGGCTGAGCAGAGTCTCTCCTGGAACAACAGTGCCATCTGTCACTGCTCAGAACAGCTGTCTCAAATGACAGCAGATCTCGCAACAAACAAGTTAAAAATGCAGAGTCTACAAAATATCTTTGCTTTACAAAGATTCTAGGCCAAATCCTGTCCGAGACAGCAGGACTGTATGATTGCAATGCCGTAACACTGAAAACATACTTTTGCAAAACTTGATTATAGTCCCTTTTGACACCCCTGAAGAAGGCAATAATGCAGAAGCCTCTTCAAGAGCTAGCTAGGTCTGGAGGTATGGGATTATAATATGTTGACAGTGCCTAATTTCAGGTACATCACTCACTTCAACAATATGGTTAACAAGGTTGAATACAATGCATCATTTAAAAACTAACGTATGCTCAGTAGCTTTGGTTTAGCAAAAGTGAGCTGAATGAAGCTGCAAATCAGGAACATTGTAAATTTAGGAAATACAAGCTATTAAGAAATAAAATACAAGTTATTTATTAAACCTTGCTGTTTAAAATGAATACATGCTTCTGAAACACCATACTCAAGTAACAGACCAACTTCTTACAAAAGGGAAAAACAGAAGACCTTTCTTACCTTTCTCCTTGTCTAAGGGAGGGAGGATGCTGTTGTCTCTGCACACTTTAAAATAGATCTCCTGCTCTACTCCCTCAGGAATGGCTCCTTGTGGAATGATGATACTGACCCCCGTCTCAATGGAACTCAGGACGCCACCATTGCTGTTGAAGACCCCTCGAGCCGTAGCCACCACAGTGTGTCCTTCATCCTCCTCGTCATCCTCCAGTGCACTGGGGCTGAAGGTAACAAGACCTCTCACAGTCAAGGATATAAACAAGGGCCAGCACGTCTGAAACTGTGCTCATCTGTCAGAACACGTCTTCTTGCCTCCAATAACGTGAAACTGCCAATGTCGAGAATCTGTGTTTTCCCTTAAAACAAATAATTAAAACAGTACACACTTACTGCAAGTTGAATGAATGCACTGCAAGTGTATGAATTTTGTTGTTACCTGACTGGGATAGCCTTGGGCACAGCACCGATGTTGTTTTGCTGGTATTTGGGCCGGTTTTCTACTGGCCGCGAAAAGGTGTCCAGGCCGCTGTCCTGCTCTGCAGACTGTGGTGAGCTCTGGGGCTTGGAGGGAGGTGGAGGGGCAGTGCTCACTGGCTTCACCAGAGGCTCTGGCTTCTGCTGAGTGTCATTGGGTAAGAGGTTGTGGTTAAATTTCGGGCTCTCAAATTTGCGCTCAAATGGCCGGGCGGAGCTGGTGTAGGGTTTAGGGGTGAAGCGGTTGTAGCTGGTTGCGACTGGTTTGGAAGGCTGGTCAGTGCCATTAACAGGGGCCTTTTCAGGGAAACTCTTCTGAGGAAGGTAGCTGGACTGGACAGTGTCTTCACGGTTGCTGGGCCTCAGAGATGTGGGTGCGGTCTGCAAGGAAGGGGGCTCTGGCTTGCACTTGGGGGTGCTGAGAGCCTCCAAAGGCAGAGGGTTGACTGAAAGTAAAGAGGAAAACAAAAATGAATTCTCTCTCTGAGCTACATTTGAAATACTCACTAAGCAAGTCAGTTTTTGCTATTACACACAATTTATTTGACAAAAAACAATGCGCAGAGCTCAATTAAAGTCCTTCATAATGACAAGTATTTCATTAATAGATATTCAGCTTTACAGAGTGAAATTTTATTTTACCACACTAATGAGTCACCATACTCCAATCCAGAATTTATCGTTGTTAACTAATGAAATAAAACACTGCATGCATTTTTCACAGTGATGATCAGAAAAATCAATTCAAGTCCAAAGGCAAGAAGTGCTGGGAGACAGGACAGGTACCTTCGGGGGCCAGCGGTTTGGGCAGGACTGCTGGGGGAACAGAAGGGGCCGGCCGCGTCTGCACTGGCTGACCATACTGAGATGCAGGTGGAGTAATCTGAGGCACAGGTTCATATCTCTTCTCTGCAGGACTCACTTTCTCCACAGCCTCACCCCTGTCAGGGAACAGAAATCATTTCAATTCCCTTTAAACAAGCTGACACAGAAACTACGGTATTCACAAACCCACACACAATGTCTATTATATGTCTAGGAGACTCACAAATTGTTTAAAACTACTGTCTATGAACAACACACAATGTTTAACATGCGCAGCACAAACACCCTAGAGGTCTCAATCATTGGAATAATTCTCTCCTTTTTTGCAAGATGTGAGAGTACATCAAGAGTAAGTCATCAAGGAGGACCAATGTTTTGGTAAGAAAGTTTCAGGTATAGCATCTTTTGCTAATTTTAGCATTGTTCTGCTGATTAACACCTAAATGGTTTTAAAAACACTGACACCTGAAGCAATCTTTAACACTTGCAAACATAAAAATAAAAAACACCCACAAATAAGTCAAATATGCATTGATCTTTGAATATCAGATGGCATAAATATTTTGATGAGCAAAAAAGTCCCATGTGCCATCAGCTTTTTGCAGTAACTATTCATGAGCAAAGCAAATTCTTTTAAAACAAGGAAATAATATCATATATATCTAATTTATGACATTTTCAGACTGAGAAAATTTGGAATATACATGCACATACAGCTTGTGGACGTCTGTGAAAATCATGATAACTTGAACTACTCTCACACTGAAGGCAGGACTGGTGTTCTTACCCCTTTAGATTCCTTTTCAGGTGGTCATAGCTAGTGTAAGAGCCAAGAAATCTACTGTGGGTGATTGCAAAGCAAATGTAAAAACAAAGGAAAAGAAATGGAAAATGATCATTTCAAACCATTGAATGCATAGGATAAAGAAAAATGAAATGAACAGCACTACTTAAACTGCAGTAGAAAAAATACTGTTGCACAATTGTGGGTAAAATGACAAAAGGCGATTTTATCTCTTTCAATCACCATGGTAATTGACCAGGTTTAAATTAAATGAGGAAGATTAAAACAGATAAAAACTTTAGAATTATTTGGAATAATGTGACCTTGGAGTGAAAATGAGCTACACTTCCCAATTGTATTTGCTACAATTACAACATATGTCAACTGGTGTTTTATTATCAGGTCAAGTCTCTGCTTCCTGTTTGGCATTTTTACACCTTTACTTGAATGCTCAGCAACTTCCAGCTTGAATGTGCTGACTGACTGTGCAGGACAAAAGAAGTAGGGCACACAATTACATTTTTATAAAGGAGTGATCTTTTAACAGGATGATGCACAAAGAGTTACAGAGATCAGAGGAGAAATGCCCGAGTACATCAGTAGTTATTAGTGAAAGATGTCTACTTTTCTGGTTTTGAAGGGAAGTCAGGTACAATAAGTTACAGAATATCTGATCCTATGAAGTAAACATCAAGTCCTAAGAGACTGTGACACGCAAAGTCTATTTTGTAATGCTGCCCCAGTAATCAGCTTCACAGTGCAAAAGAAGTCGGATAATGACAAATTCTACAATCTGCAATATAAGTTGGACCCTACGTATGAACAAAAAAAAATAAATGCTGCGCTCTAAGCTTTGATAGAAGCTTAATCTTTTTTACTAATTTGAAAGCGAAATCAGATATAATATAACCCATGGTGATAATCAAATGATCCATAGTACTTATTTTGTGAGGTCAGGTGCAAAACAGACAGGAAGGCAAAAATAATTCAATCCCAGTTGAATCATACTATGAATTTTCACAGTCAAATGAACTGCAATCTGACCTGCCTTGGCTTTACTCTCATATCATCCACATAGGAATACCTTACCAATTCAACATCCCTAGAATAAAACACCCTTATTTTAGCACTTCCATTAGCAATTAAATACTATAATACACATTTGTGCATCTGTAATTATTTTTTTTCCTCCTTAAATCAATAGGCTTTATTCATCTATAACATCTATAAGGCAACACTAGGCCTATTTATCTGACAAAAAAAGCAGAACACAGCCTTGGTGTCAATATGACAGGTGAGCAAAATCTGAGTTAAGCACAAATTAGAAAAAACAACAAAACCTCAAGATGCACATCCTGAAGGCCGATGACACTATGGCTCCGATGCTGCTAGATCAGTGGTTCTCAAACTACGGTAAGCGTACCAGTTGTGGTATGCGGAGGGCTGCCAGGCGGTACGCCATAAGACCCTGGAACTTTGTTGTGTGCCTGAAAATTAGTTTGTCGAATACGCAGCCTACGTACTACAATACAGCGCGCGCTAATACTCGAGTAGACACAAGAGCTACTATGTAATTTGATACCATTGTGTAGGCATGCATGCTATGAACGAAAGCAGCCAACTGTATTTAAAAAAGTTATCTCTAGCAAATAGGGAGGTAGGAGACTGTGCGTGATTTTGGAATAATGCCAATGTGGTAAGTACAGGAAAGCGTGATAAAACTGAAAATATTTAAGAACTGTTCTAGGTTAATTAGAAAAATACACCAAGCATTTCTGTGTTTCGCTCCCATGCGCATTAAATAGAAACTTCTTTTAACTTCTGAGACAGACTCCTGAAATTGAAATGGGGCAAAATGCAAGCGTGCGGATTCTACTTGTGAAGAACTTTGTTTACCGTTGGCAAAAGAGCTGACACTATTATGTTTGGAGAAAAGGCTGCTAAACAGCTCGACCTGCTGCCCCCTCCGAAAGACACGGTCACTCATATAATTATTGATATGGCGGATGATGTCAAAAGTACGCTGATAGAGCGCGGTAAGATGAGCAGATGCTTTTCACCGATATTAAATGAGTCTGTAAATGACGTTGATTTAGCCAATTTGCTAATTTACGGTAGATACCAGTTTGAGGGTACGTCCCATGAGGACTTTCTGTTCTGTAAGCCACTATCAACAGGAACTACAGGAGAGCACATATTTCAGCTTCTGAATTAATTTATCGAAGAGAATGGCATCGACAGGACAAAAAGTGTCAGAGTTTGTACAGACGGTGCTAGAGGGATGACAAGCCGACACAGCGGTGTAGTTGCACTAATTAGAGAGCTTGCTCTAGATATGAACTGCAGCATCCACTGCGAGGCCTTTGCCATCAAGAAAATGACTGAGGATTTAAAATCTGTTAAACTCTGTTGTGAATTGTATCATGGCTTGACCAATTAATTCACATCTGCTTTGCTCGACTGAACAGGCTCACCCCCCTCACTGAAATGGTGCTTTTGTAATGTTTATTTTTAATTGTTGTTGTTCCTTTTGTCATTCTGTAAAGCGCTTTGAGAAGCCACCTTTAAAGGTGCTATATCAAATAAAGTTTATTATTATAATATTTATTATATGTATGTGTGAGTCTGTGTGCACACGCGCTCATGTTGGTCATTGAGATTTTCTGGGGTTCCTATGAGAAGATGACTTGTAGGTGGTACTTGAATGCTTTGGTTTGGTCAGGGTTGGTATTTGGTCAAAAAAGTTTGAGAGCTACTGTGCTAGGTGAATCTGAAAAGCACTCAAACTGACTTTTAGGGCCCTTCTGAAGGGCTGTGCACAAGACAAACAGGCTGTGGTTACTTGATTGCTTCATGTGTGACCAATGACAGATTAGAAAGGAGGAGGTGACCTTCATGTATCACACACCCCTAAGGCCAGTAGAAGCCTGCTGGGCTAACTGACTACAAAGCAGCAATTAAAGAAGAAAGTCTCTTTGTTGTACCAAGTAGAATATTCAGTTTACTCCTAGAAGGAAACTTTCATATAGAAAAAGTAATTGAAATCTATAAACATGTGACCAAATTATCCCTGTGGGCAAACTCAGTAATTCTTCTATAAAAGAGGACAAGCCGCCCAGATTCTGCCTAAAGTAAAAACCAACAACTATTTATGTAACCCAAATCTTCAGCACATTGTGCACAAGGAAGGACAGAAGGAGAGCATTCAACTTTTATAGGTCACTACAAGCTTCTTAAAGTCTCTCTGCTCAGGCTTTTCATATTTTTAAGGACACAGAAAAGATTTAAGCTGCTGACCTGCATCGAAATTCTAAGTTTGTAACTAGATAAGACTAACAAAAAACAATACTCTTACACAAACAGTACAGCTTTGAGGTTTTTGGAACATTTTAACTCTGGAAATGTTTCCTTCTGAAAATGTATGGCCAGAAATATCATGTTTACCGCCAGAAATAAAACATCAGCTTTGAAGAAGGAAAGAAGTGCCAAATGCTAGACGAGTTTTGAGAGTACTGCACTTCAGGAAGCAAAATGCATCTCATTCTGCTTATCTTTTAAAAGGAAAATCAAGATCTGAGCTAATTAACTTTCTTCCAAACTTCAGATTTCAACAAAAACTAATTATGTCAGTACTTTAAAACTAAGGAAACAAGCTTCTCTGTCTGAAGCAAACAGTCAAATTGGAAATAACCACAAATATATAAACCAGTCGTACAATATTTGGCCCACTTGTAAAGAAACTGCTGTTTTAAGACATGTTAGCCTCTGTCTAGATAATATCCGATAGGACCAATACAGATTCCTCTTTTAGCAAAGATAACTGAGGTTGTTAAAGCACAATTATAATTTCAAATCCTTCCACAGAAAGAAACGTGGGGGAGCGACTGGTTACCTGGAAGAGTAGTTGGGCTGTGCTGGCTTGACTGGGTCAAGGAGGCGGCTGACAGACTGCTGTGGAGCAGGCTTGTTATCGAAGGTCCTTCGATCAAAGTAGGAGAGCTGCTTCCTGTAATACTCCTCATCCTCGTCAGGATCATAGTGGTTAGAGCGCACAATATCCTCCGGGGCCTTGACCTGAGGTTTCTGTGGCTCTGGGCCCCTGATGTAAAAAAAGGAAATATAATTAAATGGAAACTTAAGAATATGCAATCATTGCCCAATTACAAGACAAGCAGATTTAAATTAAAAAAAAAACACAAAAAGGTATTAGGTGGATTTATGTATTGAAAAATCCCAAATAATTTAGTACATGTGCCAAGTGTTTACCTAGTAATGAACTCATTTGCGTTTACGGTTTTGCTTTAGGTGACCTCTTCGTTCCAAGTTTCCTTATGCACGCAAACCAGTCCAACAAATACTCACAGCTGGTCCTATGAGGCCCAAGACTAAATTGCAAAATAACATTTTTAAATTTAAAGACTAAATTAATAATTTAGGTGATCTGCAAAATAACATACAGTGATGTGAAAAAAAGACATCACTTTATGAGTCTTTGGTTTTACATATTAAGACATAAGATCTTCATATACTCATCACCAAGTCCTAACTAGAGGAATCAAACCTCATGTGACCTCAGATAAAATTTAAAATTTCAAATCCTTACACAAAAAAACTTGGGAGGAGTGACTGTTTACCTGTAAGAGTAGTTGGGCTGTATCTGAGGCTGTGCTGGTACGACAAAGATATAATTTAAAAAAGCAGCAACTATCGTGTATGCTAAAGATTCTAGAGTATTGGACTCTGAAACGGCTATATTCTATTCTGTGCAAAATGCATTGTATAAAAGCTTTTGTTAAATGACAGATTATTATTGTTACTACTACAGCTCTTGTACCTGTATGAAGTCTTCTCCTGGTCCAGGTGGCTCAGAGAGTTGGCCTTAGGAACTGGGCCTGGGCCAATCACAGGCTTAGGGGCAGCTTCAGCAGGCTGTTAAAGTCAAGTTATTTTGTGAGTGATGGCAAAATCATTAACTTGTCTAAAACGGTTTCCCTCACGGGATCAATAAAGAATCTATCTAATCTAAAGGTCTAATTTTGAACCGAGGAAGTTATAATAATTATCATCATCATCACTATAGATAGCAATAAAGAAAAATAAAAAATAAAATAGTAAATAAAACGAAAGAAGAACACACAAGTACACTGTAAAGCAAATCGGACACAGCCCCTAGTTAAAAGGTACGTTTTAAGTTTAGATTTGAAAAGTCAAAGAATTTCTCTTGGAGGAAGGGCACTCCTCCAAAAGAGCCAGATTCAGAGCCTTAAAAGTCAGTAAAAAGACCTTATACCGAGTATGTGACTTTACAGGCATCCAATGCAGAAATGTAAGTGTAGAAGTGAAATGCAAAGAGTCTAGCTGTAGAGTTTTGGACACATTGGAACTGAGAGAGGAGAGTGTCAGGGAGCCCCGAGTTACAAAACTCAAGCCTTGATGCCAGCAGCCATATCATTCTGCAACTCACAACTGGCAACCCACAGTAGCTCAGCAGGTGAGCCCGGCCAGTACCTGGATGGGAGACCTCCTGGGAAAAACTAAGAAAAAAGTGCTGGAAGTTGTTAGTGGGGAAATCAGGGGGCGTTCATCCTGTGGTCCACGTGGGTCCTAATGCCCCAGTATAGTGACGAGGACACTATACTGTAAACAGGCGCCGTCCTTCAGATGAGACGTAAAACCGAGGTCCTGACTATATAAGTGTAAGCAATTATTATTATTATAAATGCATGATTCAAGAACTCGGCATCAGACATTGATAGAAATTGCTTTATGTGGGCAATATTTCTAAGGTGAATAAAAAAAGAGGTTCAAGTGTGACTCCCAGAATCCTGACTACAGCTGACACGTGAATGGGAAAGCCATCTATACTGTAAATACTGAATGATTTAGAATATCAAAAGCCACACTAAGATCAAAGAGCACGAGAACACTTATAGCCCCTGAGTTCAACAAAAATGTTCCAATGTTTCTAATTCATCCTTTGCATTTGCTTAGACTAAGAGCAGTAAAAATCACAATCTGTTACCACTCTGAGTAGATTAGCTTCCGACAGATGTTTTGGGTTAAGGTATGCATATAAAAGTACAATAAAAACATCCCAACACGATCTCCTTTACATCTCTACATAGCATCCAGATAGAAAAACAAAGTATTCCGTCTGATTGCCTTAAGCTAGCTCATGAAAAGTCTGATAGAAACAACTATCGAGTTTTAGAGATGCCATGTGGTTGCTACCCACCTTGATGACAGCAGAGTCCCCAGCCTCCCTGGCCCGGTCCACAGATGCTGACCTCTTGTTCTCAAACATCTTGACTCTGGTGAGCACCGACTGCGGCTTCATGGCTGGGTCGTCATCCTGGTCAGCTGCCGGTGGCGGGGGCAGCGGTTTACTGGACACAGGTGGAACTTCTGATTTAGGCTGCACCTGTGGCGGTGGCGGCAGGGGAGGCTCTGCATTTAGCGGAGGCTCGTACTGTCCTAATTTATACGGCCGCTGGGGCCCTTGAGCATAGGGCCTGACCTGAGGGTCGTAGTACTGCTTGGGTTCGGGCGACCGGGAGACAGGAGGGGGGAAGGCATGCGGCTCAGGCTCATACCTGGGGCGCGCTTCATAGCCAACGGGAGGCTGCTCTTCGTAACGTGGCTGAAGAGGCTTGCCGTAGCTTTTTGCTGGTGGCTCATAGCGCGGCCGACTATCATATCCTACAGTGGGTGACTCTTCATAACGAGGCTGAGTGGGGCTGTACTCACGCTCTGCACTCTCCTCATAGGGGGGCCTAGGTTCATAGCTCTGGGGGTGCTGGTTCTCGTACGGAGTTCGGGCCGTATAAGCCTGAGGAGGGTTTTGATCATAGTGTGACCACTGATCGTCGTAGTGAGGCACTCGGTTTTCATAGTGTAGGTGCGAGTCATAGCTGCGAGACTTTGGTTCCATGTAATTGCCCGCAGAATCGTATCTGTATGGCGGATGATCGTAATCTCTGTATGGCTGTTCATCCTGGTACTGAGGCTGTGGCTCGTAGTTCAGAGGTTGTTCTTTGTCATATCTCTGCATGGGATGGCCTACGACGGGCTGCTTCATGCCATGATTCTGCCTTGCTGGCTCTTCCATACCATAAAGATCTTTCTTAAACATCTGTTGAAAAAGAGAAAAAAAAACATGAAAACACAAAACAATCTTAAAATCTTTATAATTCAATTTAAAACAGGTACAGCTTTAGCCACGGATTACAGAAAAAACACACACACAAGGCTTGAAAGTAGCCACAGTGGGAAACCCAGAACAGAGGCAGCAACTACAGAATGTTTAAGCCCAATTAAATTAAGGCAAATTCTTCTGTTTCAGTACCACACTATTGCAGAAAACACACTATTGCAAGCACCCTCTATACATTTTTTTCAAATTCTATTTGATCAATTCTGAAACTTTCTCCAAATGCTTTTCAGCAGGACAGCACTGTACAACATCTGCATATCTAACATAAAATATGTAAATGTTTTGGATACACTACCATCTCAGAAGGTAAACAAGGCATTACTTACCTTTTTAGACATTTCAACAGTTTTTGTTAAATACATGGAATCTGATAAGTAGCCTTTCAATCATTTGGATAAAAAAAAACTGATCTCAATATCTTGATTGAAATACAGCATTTAATTTTAACATGCCACTTTTAGCCAGTCATCCCTCCTTTATCCATTAAGAGATCCTAATATGGATCCAATTGTATTGGCTACAAATCAGGCTGCAGGTACGCACTAGAGGTACTTTATAAGATTCATTATCACAGAATGTGCAGCTTCAGAGTCAAGTCAGTGAAGCTGTTGACAGTTAAGTCATCCTATTTCCCCCCCCCCCTCCCCGGAAGAAAAAAAAACATTTTTAACCATGCAAAATAAACAAGCAACTGTGAAAAGCTCTTTTTCTTGTGTGTGAAGATGCAGCAGAAGTTTTTCCAAGCATAGTGTTTCTGTTCTCAAAAGCATTCAAGAAGGTAGGCAGATAAAAAGTTCATGCACGAGGTGTGAAGAGTGTAAGCATGGCAAGAGGCAGCATCTGAAGAGAGGGGGGTAGCACTGGTACCTTTGGTTCTGTAATGGGCAGTCCAGATTGATGGGGATCATTTGGCATTGCCTGAGCTAGCTCAGGGGCAGGCTTCCTAAGTGGACCAGCCTGGGGGCTGTAGCTGCTGAGAGGAGCAGCAGGAGGCTCCTCAGGTGCATATACAGAGTGGTCAACAGCAGATGGCGCTGTCACAACAGCAATAGGCTCAGGTTGATGGGGTAGGTTAGGCATGGCGGGAACAGCCTCTGTTTTCTGTGAAGTAGTGTTTAAGATTGTTTAATACATTACTGGCGTAATGCAGCAGCACAATTTTTTTTTAAACAAACTGCTGTTTGAAATTGAGAAACTGCATCAATTCATGTTCCATTAGATTAGATAACGAATAAAAAATTTATCTACAAAAAAAATCTCTTTACTAATAACAACTAAATGTAATAACAGCATACAGTATAAAGTATAAATGCAATATTATAATTTGGTTAGCACATGATCATTTCTGGTATCGGATTTAATTTAAAATAAAAACTACAACCAAAGTCCGTAGAGACAAATATCACTAAATCTTCCAGCAACAGTACAATAAACATTATGTAGAGACAGTTGTCAGGCAGTCAATGTAATTCCAAGTTCTTTGACAAACTACAAAAAGTATTTTTTCACATCTTCCTACTGAAATATTTCAACTATATATTCAACTACTGAGGCTCTCGTTACCTGCTGTGGTGCTGGCATCTTGAATCCTGCTGGGTCTATCCGGTTGGGCACATCAGCCTGCACTGAGTGCTGGTAAGATGGGTATCCCTGAGGATCCTGGAGAACAGACGGATCATCACGCACCGGCTCCGAAGATCTGGTAATGGCTGGCTCGGCTGGCGGCCCCACTTCGTCGTTGAGAGTCTCGTCCAGCTCTTGGTCGGTGTAGGCACCTCCCTCAGTGTCCGTGTCCTCGTAGTCAGACGTGTGCCGACTGTCAGTGCTGTACATGGAGTACTCGCTTCCCGGGGCGGAAAGGTAGGACAGCCGGTCATCGTGCAAGTCCAGGTCGTCATCAGGAGCACCATCCGCCTAAGAGCGAGAGAGGAAACCAAGATGGAAACAGGCATGGATCATGGAACATAATGATCAGGACATACTGTAGAACGTGTTTTACAACTTGTTACAAAAAACTGGATGCTTACTAAACTTGTTTTTGAAGATTTCTCTTGTAACCCCGAAAGTACATGCTCACCTTGCCTTCCGAGACCCATACCAACTGGTTCTGCTGCTGCTGTACAGTCTCCTTTAGTGCTCCATACCATCCATCGTTCATAGAATTCATATTGATAGTAGCTGAAAAACACCAGACAGGAAATAAGAAAAGATCATACAATAATGAGAATGTCAGAACTCATAATATTTAATATTATATCACGGTTATTTAATATAATATTTATTATAGCACTGACAGAGTTACATTTCCATCTGACTAAATGTGAAACTAAAGCTTGACTACGTGGATAAGATGAACAGAAAATTTTCTTCCCCTAGATTAAGGAGCCTAACACATCCCATTTCATGACCTTTTAAATTTCATAACCTCTCTGTGTAGATAGCATCTTTAGGGGCCAAGGGCTCAGGAAAAATCTAATAATCACCGAATCCATTTATTGGTGCCGTCCCCTTTTAACAAGAACTGAAACGATAAGGATGTTCTAAAAATAACATTTGCCACTTCAGCCTGTGTCACACAGCAGTTCAGAGCGCCAGTTCTGGAAGAAGAGTTTTGTTTCCCTGGCAGACTCCAATAATTAGGAACATGCCACATTTCACACAGTGCTCAGCGTGCGCAGAATGCATAATGAACTCTCAGAGAGTGTAGCTAAGCAATCTTGAAGAGGCATGTCATTGTACAGTCCAAGAAATAATGTGTCTGTACAACGCACTAATGGAGAGAACACATTCCCCTTTCCTTGACTATATTGATGAGCCCCTACCCACTTACTTGTGAAAAGATGGTGGTTGTTTTTCCTCAGCTTAAGGGCACGTTCATAAAGCTTCCTGGCGCTCTTTCTTGATTCTGGGCACAGCCTCGTTCTCATGTTTTTAACTCCCTGCTTACTATCTGGGTTCAGGAACACTACAATTGGATACCACTGAGCATAGTTCAGCCTGTCCACTGCATTGGGGGTGATGTCCAACACTGCATGCTTATCCTATAAAATAAAACAAATCAGCATTAGGAAGAGCAAAACATTTTTTCACAATACTGTATTTAAGATTAATAACTATACAAATATGACATCAAAAGGGTAAAAAGCAAAATACTACAGCCAAAGTGTATATTTTCCTCATTGAACAATTATAATGCAATTTAAGTGAAAATCACTGAGTACATTTAAATTCACAGAAGGTCAGACTCGTTTATTACTGTGAAAGTGTTGTAAAAATGTATTTATAGATGTGACTACATAGCACTAAAATTCAAGATTTCTAATGCAGTGTCCTACTTTTTTAATGAAAGTGTAAATCCATCCCCCCCCCCCCAATATGATTCAATTTTTCCATAACCCCAATATAACATTTTGTATGTAATATTGTGATCTCTAGCACTTTTTCACAGCAATAGTCTGCAAGGTGTCTTGGGCCTAACTGCAGCGACACTCACTCTGTCAATGATCTGTTTTATAGTGTGGAGACGTATGATGCCAGAACTTCTCTGATCAGTTCCTGCGTCCCTCGGTTCACTCTCTGCAAAGAACAGAAGCATTTCCTTAACTTCAAACTATTTTTCTCCCAAGACAAATTGGCGCTGTGCACAAACCCCAGTTGTGTCGACAAGTTAATTATTAAGTTAAGTAGGGAGTTTGCATAGAATTTTAAGAATTATCTTGTTATTTAAGTATTAAAAAAATCAATTGTATGTTTGTCATACTATAAGGACATTAGTATTGACTAACTGTATAAGTTATCGAGTGGTTTGCTTTTCAGGACAACCATCTATTTACAGCTGATCTTAAATACTGAGAAAAACTAACTCAAAATTGAAAAAAGTCACAGCTTGAGAAAGTTGATGGAAGCAATGTAATATCTCCCTAGAGTAAGAATAACATTTTTCTAGATTTAATTTTAGCAAATAATCACCCTAAAAGGATACAATTTTAAAACAATTATCACTGAAAGCTTGATATGATTAAATTAACTATGCACCTTTTGAAAGGCAATATAGAACTGCAAAAAACCCTTTTCATTTTTCAGTATAAACACTTTACATATTTGTTAAAAAAGGCAAAAACAGCTGTGAGTAGTTGTCACAGTACTGCCGGCAACTCGTCTGTAATGCTATTTTTACAACAAATTTAAATAAGAGGCCACACTCCACAATGAGTACTATTTATTCAGAAATGACAAGTATTGACTGAAATTACACACATCTTGTCTTATGTTTTTTTTACCATTACTCCATAAAAATTAGATGTGACATACTCACTTGCCAGCTCAAATATTTCAGGCTCCTCCCTGGCCAGCTTCTCACGAGCCACGTCAGCAATGGGGCCAAAGATAACCACTGGCCGGAGGAACCCAGCTGAACACAGGACAGGACATTATAACACATGTCGCATTCAACAGAAATACATTAACACTTGACGAGCAAATATCAGAAACTATCATCGGATATGAACACTCTCCAAGACCCGACCCCATCAGATGCAGAAATGGGGGACTGAACTGAGGTCAAATTGTTTTGATCTTTGAAGAACTTTTTGATATGTAACCATCATGGATATTTTCCGCCTTTACCTTCTCGGAGCACGACCCGCTCGTAAGCCGGGAACTTGGTCTGAACAGGCTGTGCAGAAAGGTCCTCACGACTTTTCCTGAGGTTCCTCTTGGAACTGCGAAGGCCACGGAATCGCCAGAAGTCCGCACGGTCCCCTCCCGCCGTCTTGGGAAGCGTGTACTGAACGCTGGACAGCTGCTCAGCTCTTCATGCACATCAGAGCAAAAAGACAGACAAATGCATTAAATATAAAGAAGGGTGATCCTTCCATCTCCAAAAGCATGTTCCAAAAGAGCTGTGTTTAGGCATTTTCATGGGTTTCATGGAAACAGACTAAACAAATTACTGTAGCTTGTGTACATATTATTTTGCTAATATCGGTTTAGGACTTAATGGGTATCCACACTGCATACTGTTATTAATTTTATACTGTAGAAAGAAACTAAGGATGATTAAATGATTGGTAACAGAAAACAATGAGTTCCCACTGTTTTTACCCTGGAGGTTACGTCAATACTAAGACAAAGAAATGACAGTTTAACAAGACTGGTAAGCATAATCAAAGGATTGAGACCAAACAGACTGTCATGTAATTGGGACAACATAAAAAAACAGAGAAGTTGCATTTGTTTCTTAGCACATACACACCTGTTTTTGTTAGGAATGATTCCTCTTTCAACTTCCTGGTGGTTTTTGCCAATGCGTATTGCCAGCCACGAGCCCAGCTTTCCATTATACAGAGTATCAACCACACGGAACACCTCTCCCTTGTTGAAACTCAGTCCGTAAGGAGACTCTTTTTCATATTCAAAGTGGGTCCTGATGTAGAAAGAATCCCCTACATCCGACTCTACTATTCTTCTGTAAACTACAATTTAGAAACAACAAATAGAAATAGGTCTTAGAAAGCTGTTATGTGCCGAGCAACTGTGGTACAAGTACCATATCAGGATGCCTGTGAGATAGTTTTTACAGTAAACATCAGCAACACCAACATACCATTGCTAATGAGGAAGAATTTTAGCATTTGCCTTTTTTTTTAAGTATATAAAATAGTGACTTTTTATTAGCTCATTTGCCTTTTGCTTAGCAACAGTATAAAAAGATAATTCAAGCATATTATTTGACCTTTTGACATTGATATTACAAACTGCAGAATGTCTAGCTCATTTCACACCTTTTATTTTTATACTTCCTTTTGTCTGTATGCAAGGTAGAACTGCTTCTTAAGAAGAACGTGGTCAGTTACAAAGAAATGTTTGTAGAGAGAAAAAACATCTCCTAATATGGAAACTTGCTTTCCTGTGCGAGTCTGCTGTATTAAACTTATTGCATTTATCATCTCGGGGAGTTAGATTTTTTCAGATCTGCATGATCTATCCTCCTCATGCGCATGAATAAAGGACTCGGCTTGACCACACCTAACCTGAGTGAAGACTTTTCTTCGACACTAATAAGCAATTCTTGTTTAATCCTCTAACTGAGGAGTATGTGGATATAAGGAGTACTGATGGCAAATATAGCGAAGCTGCCAGAAAAATAATAAACCAACGTATCAAATAGATAATAAGACTTCATAAATTCATGTTTGCATTTCCAGAAAACGATCTGTTCTAGAGAGTCAGAACATCTGAAACAGGGCGCAGCTTTTTATAAGAAATAATAGATCTTACTCACCGTCTTTCTTTTTCTGAGCCAAAATGGTCACCTCTTCACCTCTGGGAAGATCAAGGAGAAACAGAACTGCCTCCTCTCTGATTATATTTGCGAAGTCAACATTGTTTACCTAAAGAAAACAAAGAACAGAGCTGGCACTATGTTACAGTTCACTCCACGTTTCATTGTTTCCTTGTGTCCTTTCCCCAGTAGGATTATAAAATGCTTATTTTTGAAAAGAAAGTGGGATTATAAAAAATACAAATGAAGCCATTAACTGACATCATTTCTTTAACTCGAGGTTACAATGCTGATCTTTATCTTGAAAAGAATAAGACTAGGAAACATACATTTTTGCAGGCCTTGAGAACAAAACAACATGTGAAGTAATATCCTGAAAACAGTATTTACAGAACATTCAAGTTCTTCAGCTGTTAACATGAGTATGACAGGGCTGAAAATAGGCAGAAATGCTTCGGGAAATCAGTGCAGACCCATCTGTATTTGCTTGTTAGCTGCTTCATATGATTTTCAAAATAATTAGCAGTGGCAAACATACTTCTTTGGAAAAATAATAAAACTACCAAACTTCTGAAATTAAAGCAGACTGTAGATTGGTACAGGTATACATAAAGCTTCTTGGAAAAACTACCTTGGAACCTGCATCAGCTTCACTGGCATAACCACTCTACTTCACAACTGCACAACTCATACAAATGCACTGTGCTGAGGAGAAATGAAGCTATAATCCTAAGCTTTTATTCTAGATGCACATAAGAAATCCAAATAAATAGCAGAGTGGACAACACGAGGCAGCAGTGTGGGCTAATGGTTAGTGCTCCATTCTCATCACTGAAAGGTCATGGGTTCAAATCCCAAGTAGGGCACAGCTTGAGCAAGGTACTTTTCACCCTGTACTGGTAAACATACCAAACTGTATAAATGGGCACACATTAGCCACTTTGGATAACATTTACCAAATAAGTTAGTAAGGTAACAGTAGTTCCTACTTTTTAGTAATGTCTTATTACATAAAACTAAAAGGGTTGCCATCATTCTCTGGCCACTGATTGCCAGCAATATATCATCTTGTCTTGAAATGCTTCAGAATGCTCCTAGTGCATTTTCATTACACCCGCTTTCATTGTTTTTCTGTATCTTCAAAGCTTCACCCTGCTAGTCTTAATCAGACTTAGAGGCCTACCGAGACCAAGTCTATATTCTAGACACAGCGCCCTGTTCCTCACCCTGAGTATCTGATCGCCCTCCTCCAAGCCTTCTTTCGCAGCAGGACTGTCTTCCAGCACACCAGCCACGAATATCCCCACGTCATTGCCCCCCGCCAGGCGCAACCCCACACTCTCCCCCTTCTTAAACTTCACGAGCTTCATGCTTGGTCTAAAAGGAAAAAAGATTGGGTTAGATTACAGAAAGAATGCAGCAGAATTACAAATGCGTCTTCACGGTGGCAATGTGTTCAACGAATTCCCATACTGCAGAAATGTTTGGCCATTAAATGCATCTGATGGAATGGGAAGTATTTGCCTGCAAAATGGAGAAGCACCACATCTTATTTGCTTTAAGTTGAAAAGGGTAAAAAACATTGATGAGAGACATTGATAATATGCCACTTATTTTCCCAATCAAAGGAAAGCAGCGTACCGGAGCATGCCATCGTCATGTGCTGCATTGGGGATAGGGGCATCCGAGGGGCTCACAGGGAGATCGACATCCGGCTGGCCAGGCTGAGCGTACACAGGCTTCGGCTCTGAGCACACAGACAAGACAGTCAGAAATTGATCCATACCCCTTGTGCACAACACGTGAGCATTTGCTACCAGACTAGATGCTGCGCTTATTTTCAAATTAAATTATGTTTAGCACAAAGTAATTACTGACAGTTTTGCATGTCTTTTCAAATATTTGCAAAAAAACCCAGCAAATATGCATGCCTTCTTCACTAAAATGTTTAAGGATAAATGGAGAAATGCAAGGAATGTTACAACCAAGAGGAAGCTATAACCAAACTAACTCATTTAATAGTAGCTAACAGATCCAAGGATCTTGAAAAAACAAAACAATGAAGAAAAATAACGTCTAGCAAAAACATTTAAAAAGTAATTAGACAAGTATGAAACTTGACCTCATTCTGACATTCCAGTCTTGAAGTTACAACTACTGTACTCTGGAATAAAGTGATGCACAATATATATAGTGATGTGTCAATACAGATGCATACAGTAATTAAGTTTTAAGGAAAAAAATTTAATGCAGCTACTGACTAAAAGAAACCTAATTTAGTGCCTAACAGGATACGTTTTTTTATTAATCTTTTTAGAATTACTTAGTACAGCAAACAAGCCAACCCCTAATTAAGTAATAATAATAATAATAATAATAATAATAATAATAATAATAATAATAATAATAATAAACTTTATTTTATATAGCGCCTTTAAAGGTGGCTTCTCAAAGCGCTTTACAGGATGACAATAACAATAAATAAGAAGACTACAACAATAAATAAGAAAATTTCACAAGACAGGACACAATTATAATTACAACAATACAACAATAACAATAGAGGAGACCGTGGAAGATGGTATTAAGAAGAGCAGAGGGGTGAAGAATGGAACCAGTTAAGTAAAGGCTTTTCTGAAAAGGAGGGTTTTGAGTCTGGATTTGAAGGAGTTTAGAGAAGGTGACTCTCTAATATCCTTGGGCAAGGAGTTCCAGAGCTTGGGGGCATAGCAGGAGAAGGCCCTGTCGCCCATACAATGTAGACGGGCTTGGGGGACAGTAAGGAGGGCAGAATTTGAAGAGCGGAGGTTGCGAGGTGGGGAGTAGGGCGATAAAAGTTCAGACAGGTATTGAGGTGCCAAGCCATGTAAAGCCTTGTAGGTGAGCATGAGGATTTTAAAGTCTACGCGGAATTTGACCGGAAGCCAGTGCAAGGACTCCAGGATAGTGATTAGATTTCTGTTGTTTTATAAGAAACATCTGTGGGACCTCGACATTAAACAGAACCCTTATCACAAACTGTACCAGGCTCAGGAACTCCTGCAGTCTCAGTAATAAGGGCCAGTAAGTGACAGAAGACTGATCAGTCAAGTGAGCTGGAAGGGCACGAGTGTCACTTCAATGTAAAGCAAGAAGGTGAGGCTGGAATTCGGCATTCCAAACTGGGGAGGGGAAAGCTGGGAAAACTTAGCAGTCTAGACGCATCTATTTTAAAACGCAACAGGCTCTGAGCCATGAGCTCAGAGCTGCCCTGACCTGGCAGAGGAGGGATCTGTTTTTCTTCTTTGACCACAGGCTGCTCAACTGGCTTTGAAATTACAGCTTCTTCAGCGATTTTAATAGGAGTTGATATCGCCCCAGGTTTTGAAATTCTCTCTTCATCCCGACTTCTGAGGCTGTAGAAACAAAATACATTGTTGTTAAAATAAGAGTAAAAAAAACACTACTAAGGTTTGATGATCACAGCATTTCTGAAACTAACCTAGTGTTATAAAAACTGTTTTGCATCAGTACGGGCAAGATCCAAAACAATTAAACATTTTAAAAGAAATTCTAAAACAAGCCTTGCTCTGTAGCATACCACAGAGGGGCACTGTTAACTAAGTTTGAGACAAGCCTCCTTTTAACAAAGACCATTCTTATTTCATTTTTTTAAATAAGCACTATTCTATTAGGAAATGATATGGTGTGAGAGATAAGGTTGAACAGTAGAAACAGGAGGGCGGTCAAAAGATTTGCTATTAAAATGATGATTATCACACTGGGTGTGGTCCTACAGTGAATGTGAATGAGTCCTGAATGTTACCGCTTTGCTTTTGTGCCCGTTAACCTCTAAATTTAGACTCTCGAGCTCAAGGGAAAAAGAATGATACATTTTGTGACCTTTTTATACACAGTTGTGTTCAAATCAGATAAAACTACACAGCAACTATAAACCTAGTAACTAAATAAGATAAGCAAGCTCTATCTTATACATATAGTGCAGTTCGGAAGTATTTGGACAGTGACAATTTTTGTTGCTTTGGCTCTGTACTCCAGCACATTGGATTTGAAATGAAACAATGACTATGAGGTTAAAGAGCAGAATGTCAGCTTTAATTCAAGGGTGTTTCCATCTATATTGGGTGAACCATATAGTAACCACAGCCCTTTTTATACATAGTCCTCCCATTTTTGGGGACCAAAAGTAATTAGACAATTGGCTGCACAACTGGCCAAGTTGTTTCTTGGCCAGTTGTGTGTTGTTGCATCATTAGTTCATGCACAAGAGAGCTAACAAAAGGTCTAGAGTTGATTCTAGATGTGGCATTTGCATCTTGAGTCTGTTGCCGTTGTCTCTCAACATGAGGACCAAAGAAAAGTTAATGCCATTAAAGCTGGCCATCATGAGGCTGAAAAATCAGAATTAATTAATCAGAGACATAGCCAAAACATTAGGTGTCAAAATCAACTGTTTGGTACATTGTTAAAAAGCAAGAAGGCACCAGTGAGCTGAGCAATAGTAAACAACCTGGTAGACCACGGAAGATCACAGTAGTGGATGAGCGAACAATACTTTGAATCGGGAGGAAAAACCCCTTTTCGATTGCTGAACAGATCAGGAACACTCTCCAGGATGTTCTTCGCCATAAAGAGAAGAATACACCAGCATAACATCAGAGGGATCGCTACAAGATGCAAACCACTGGTAAGAAAGGCCAGGTTACAGTTTGCTATAAAGTACATAAAAAAGCCTCTAGAGTTTTGGGACAAAGCCCTATGGACAGATGAGATGAAAAATTAACCTGTACCAGAGTGATGGAAAGAGAAAAGTATGGAGAAAAAATGGAACTGCTGATGATCCAAAGCATACCACCTCATCTGGGAAACATGGTGAAGGCAGTGTCATGGCTTGGGCATGCATGGCTGCCAGTGGAACTGGCTCACTTGTCCTTATTGATGATGTAACTGCAGCAGGATGAATTCAGAAGAGTACAGAAGCATCTTATCTGCTCAGATCCAACCAAATGCTTCAAAACTCATTGGACGGCACTTCACCTTGCAGCAGGACAATGACCCCAAACATACTGCTAAAGCAACTATGGAGTTCTTCAGGGCCAAAAAGTGGAATGTTTTTGACTGGCCAAGTCAATCACCCGACCCGAATATTACTGAGCATGCATTTCGCTTACTGAAGACAAGACTGAAAGCAAAAAGCACCTGAAGCAAGCAAGAACTGAAAATGGCTAAATTACAGGCCTGGCAGAGCATCACCAGGAAAGATACCCAGCGTTTGGTGATGTCTGTGGGACGTCATCAACTGCAATGGATTTGCAAACAGGCCAAATTTTATTTAAGATTTTGTTAATGTGTCCAATTACTTTAATTCCCATGAAATGGGGGGACTATGTATAAAAAGGGCTGCGATTCCTATAAGTTCACCCAATATAGATGGAAACACCCATGAATTAAAGCTGACATTCTGCTCTTTAACCTCATAGTCATTGTTTCATTTCAAATCCAATGTGCTGGAGTACAGAAGCAAAACAGCTGTCACCGTCCAAATACATCTGGACTGTACCTACTGCGCTGATCAGAGAATGTACCATTAAAACAAACTAACTCATTTAGTAGTGCTGCACTAAAATCGGCTTAATTATAAACCTCTGAATTGTCTAAACCACGTATCACTTGAATACCCTCACTATCATAGTTTCCTTTCTATTAAACATGTCACCATGTTCTGACATTATTTATGCAAAGTTAAATGCACAATTCAAAAAAACACAGACGCCAAACATCTGCACCCCATTGCTGCAGGTGGCAGAGACCCTCTCTGTGTACTACTGTTTTTTGCAAGAACAATGTAAATTCCAGGCTGGTCACATGAAAGCTAGCTGGCACAGTATCAATATCAACTGGCCAGAAGAGCCGTTTTAGCAGAAATGTAGAGGTACAGCCTGCACTGCCATATTAAACTCTGACTTGACTCTTAGTTAACATACTGACAGATGAAGTCTGGAACAGAATCACAAAGAAAACAGCGTTTTGGGTATCAAACTAGCTGAAAACAATTTTACATTTACTCCTTTTAAAACAACCGACTTTAGATTCTCCAAACTGCAGTCTCAACATGTTTGTGAAAAACGAACTGAAATTGTTTTGAAGGGTCATGCATTTCAGAAGCAGAACACTTTGTTTACTTCAAATTAATGGTAACCTCCCCACATGAAACCAGGCGGGCACCAACTCACTTGACACTTCAACGGGGTGAAAAAGTGATTACAGAACAATTCACACCTGGATGCACACAATTTGATTCTTCCACTTGGAAATTGTAATTCCAATTGTCCATGACAGATGTAAAGTGTTGACCAAAACAATGGAACAATACATAAAAAGAATTTCCTTTCTTCTCATGGTTATACAGTAAGATTATTGCAGTATTAAAATAATAAACCAGTCTAGTCTAATATTACTTTTTCAGATATGAAGACAACACTGTAAATGACACTTTCATCACCTGTTTCACATAATGCAGGACTGCAGCCAAAAATATCTTCTTTGGTACAGCATGATAAATATGTGCAAAGAGTCATTAAATTATCAATCCTTCACACACTGCCTGCCCTCTCGTTATTGTAATCTATTTTCTATGGTTACTTTTGCTCAAACGTTTTTTTTAATGCAAATGTGAATTGCTGTTACAGCTCTTTCTTTTCGACAAGCCTATTTATGGCACTTGACAGCTCATGAAGAAGCTTAAAAAGCCTGGCAAGTCATGTCCTTCTTAACGCATCTACATTTAACTACATAAACATTGGTAAAATGAGGCTCTTAAAAAAAGGAAATATTTTGCTTGTTTACTATGACAGCACAACTTAAAGCAAATATAGAGAAGGGGCCCATTAGCTGTGTGCTGTAAGGTCAGTTTTCTATATTCCATCATTTACTAAATTCATTTATAAAATTGGGGCAAAATCAATATAAAGCCTACTGATCACACAGGTTTTCTCATCATCTATTATTGCTCTAATTTCCCTTATGTGGTTTTAGGGAACCTGAATGAGGACTTGAAACAAGCAAAACAGATGCGGGACCAGGCAAATGAAAAGCGGCCTCTGTTTTTTTTGGAATGAGAACGAGCATGGATCTGAAATCTTAACATCCTCAAAGCAAAAATATTAGATCAGAAGAACTTATATTAAAAGAAACGTACATTAATAAAAAACGTGGCATTTTGCAAAATGCAATATTACATTGCATCAAACAGGCACAAAGGAAGTGTAAAAATACTAGAGTTAAAGCATATTTTTAATTTCAATTTATGGTACTTGTACAAAAGATCTAAACAAAGCAAACTGCCCTTGAATGTAACTATGTAAGGAAACTACATCAACAGTCTACAAAAGCAGGAAGCAAAATGAAAATATTTAAAAGGGCAGCTGCTTTGGAATTTGGCCCTACAGTGCAACTTGCCAACCTTCAGCCGTTTAAAAAGCTAAGTGCTACTTACAGTAATCAGAAATCAGAAATCTACACACAAACATAAATGGATTACCAAGTGAGGTTTCAGTAAATATTATGAAAATGTTTTTTACAGAAGCAAAAAAAAAAGTCAAGGAAGTTTTCAACGTCAATTGCTCTGCAGTAGCAGGCAGCCATAACTAAAGCGTGGAATATTTAACAGAGATCAAACCATAATATTTGACATGAAACTCATAAAACAGTAAAATGTGAAAGTAATAAAGGCATTTTCTTTAATTAAGTTTAGGTTGTACGACTGTAAATGACGACACCTAATATTCTCTGATCTGGAATTTACACTAAACAACACAACAGGAACTGTGTCACCGCTGCCGTTTTAAATAGAACTGACATGCAAAACACAAGCAAGACAGCAGGCACACTGCGTTTGCAGTTCACATATCCCTGGAAGAGCTATGGCCCACATTCCCAAATTCTTCACTGAGGTTTAAAGGAACAGCCTGAGAATATCCATCCATCCATCAGCAAAAAAACACTTTTCCCGGTGAAGGTCAAATCAACCCATAGGCTGTCCCGGAAACATACAGACTGTTAGTGCATAACTACTCTCGCCTTGGAGGAGACCTAGCCAGCTTGTGTCTGGGAAGTGGGAGGAAGCCTATACACCAAAAGAATATGCAAATTCCACACATGGCACTCTTGCCTATAATTGAACCCAGCAACCCAAGGGCTGTAGGCAGCAGTGTTGACGATTCTGATTAGAGCCACCTCCAAGCTAAAGTGGTGAAATGGGAGAGTTCTGTATTATTTATTGTGTAAAGCAATTTCGACGGATTCCGTCTTGGACAATAAATAGTGAGTCTCTTTTGAAGCAAGAATCACAATTTTATTAGCACTGCATTCATTTCCTGCAAGTGCGAAAATTCCAATTTGTTATAGAGATTTTAAGTAAAATTATTCAACAAAACTTTAAAAAGAACAATTTTGTTAACACAAAGAATATGTATACTCTCAGTACTGCTGGTCATTGTTTTTCAGAAACATTCAAATCTGAAGGATTTCAAGTCACAAGAAAATATCTACTTTGAAATATAATATTCAATAGTGTAAGTGTAAACTTGGAGTTCTGCACAGATAATGCTTATTTTACACCTAACACCAGATCAGAACTCTAATAAACAGCATCAAGGTCAATTTCTTGTGTAAAAAACAGTCTGACACCAGTTATAAATTCTAAAAGCCAAAGGTTATAAATTAAATTTCTATGCTTTCACTTCATAATTTCATAACACAAACCAGACTTAATACAAACCTAATATAATTTAAGATTACACTCTATACTCTGAGAAATGTGATATCTGAGAAACGTGTCATTTTACATTGTCTAGATCTGAACTACATATATATCTCTAAACATCTGTTAACTCTGTTAACACCAAAATGCTAGCTAACCTAGTTTATTTCACAAGAATTGACCTGCAACTTACTTCCGCCTGATGTCAGTGAAAAGAACAGGACAATCAAAATGCAGTTCCGAAAAATTAATATTTTTTTTGTGCATATATAACATTACGGCATGGATTTCCTGATCTGTAGTGCTAATCTTCTCCTAACCTTAATAAAACAGTTTTTACATGAAGGAGGTCTTGATTTTAATTACGTTAACATCAATACCAATTTTCCTGACTGGCCGCCAGCAACTCTGCTTTATCTGTGCTACTACCTTCGGTCCTGCAGGTTAAGGACTGGTTAGGAGGCTGATCAGTGCAGTGGATTAATGAACTCTCCTGCAGTGAACTATAACCCTCCCGAGAGTCTGCTAGCCGCTTCTAATGAATTGCTATACTAATCCACATATTCTGGACTGTTTCTGCAGTCATTTTGCAGGCACTAAAGCCTGAGCCTTTCAAGCAGAGTTATATGGCTGCTGAATAAAAGATGCAGAGACTCTTACCTGCCATTGCTGATTTGCTGTGGAGAATGTCTGGAATGGTCTGACGGCTCTGACCTCCTGTCAGGAGATCGGGAGCGACTGCTGCGGTTTCTGTCATGGGATCGGTTGGAATGGTCTGATGCCAGTGAATGAATTTCTGAGATGTCTGTTAAAATAAAAATGACGTTTAATATGGCATTTTCCCCCCAATGCACATGTGACCTTGAAAATCTCTGTGATAATGACATGGTTTTGGGATGTGCAAGCTTTTACTTATCAAACTTTTTTTCTGTCCTCCTCAAACATTTCAGGCCAAAACCAATAAGGAGAAGTGCTCAATACATGCACACTGCTAACTGCAAAATAAAGCCTAAAATGCTTAATGGGATACTTAAAATATGAGACTGACTCATGTAAAATGAAAAAGCAAGCCAATAATTTGATAAAAAACAGTTGTATTAAGGACAGTCATTTTTAATCATGTAGATAACAGCGTAAAAAAAAATGCACCTCCCCAATCTACCTCCCACTTCCTTGCAATAAAACTTAACAGATTTTCAGTCCCAAAAAACAACAAAGTTGGAACTCTTATTAATGTCAGAGTCAGACATTTATGTTAGCAGTTCAGATCCAGAACACTTTGTAGAAATTCACATTAGAGCGTGCAAGTCTCAAGTGAGCTCGAGCAGACAGCTACTGATCAGACCGCGAGCACTCGGTCTGCCCCAGAGCCTCCTTTCCCATCACATGCGTCTTCACTCACCATCTCGATCTGAAGCATTTGCAGAAGCAACGCTGTCGTCCAGATCTGGGATGTTCAGCAAGGTAGCTCGCTCATCTCTCTGAACCACCATCTTCAACTTGCCCTTTGACCTTTCAATGAGCTTCTTAGCATCTATCAAGGACAGGTTTTCTGTCACTGTGCCATTAATCTGATAAAAAAAGTATGATCATGAAACAAAATAAAAATGAATCTTTAATGCAAGAGTATAAAATGACATTCAACCCTCTAATGTATAATTCTTCAAACATTCTTACTTTCAAATTTTACATTCTTACATTAATTACATAACCAACCATATCCTACCATAAGGACAAAATAAGACTGTCTGGAATTTTTTAATTGATTTTTTTACTTCAAATTTGTTGTCAAAGTAACAACTTCACCTTAGTGATTATCTTGCAAATGCAGCCCACCTCAGATCTTATGAAGCAAACTATTAGTTATTGTAGATTAGGCACTTACTTTCAGTACAACATCTCCCTCCTGGATATTGCCATCTCTTGCTGCTAAGCTCTCAGGAGAAATATCTTTCACAAAAATGTGGCTTGCCAAGCGTAAGCCATATTCTGTTTACAACAAAAACAAAACAGAGTTGGTGTTAATGTCCTGCTGACCAAGAATATCCACTTTCCTTGATCTATAGCATTTTAATATCTGGTGACATAAAATAAACCTGTGTTTTTAAATGCAGAGCATTTTTTTCTTCAGCACTTACTAGTACTCTACAGGGACACAGGCATATTAGTTGAGCCATAAATTCATTCTGTCCCTTCAAGGAATGATAATGACACCCCTGTCGCCTTATCCACTTCAAAGCTTAAAAGGCCTATGGATGCCTTTAGACAGCTCTCAGCAACTGCAAAGTCAAATTCACTTCATAGCAAAGCTAGGAGCTCCTTAAAATTATGCTACAAGAATTCTTACACTTTTTTACAGACATTCAATGTTTTCAGAAGTTGGAAAAACTAACAACAAAGCTCTCTGTAAAGCAAACTTGCCCATTTTCATTCCATCTAAAATTAAGAGCCAGGGTAGCCTAGTACCTTTTTTTGCTAATCAGTATGACCACACTTTATACTTCATGAAGACTGTGTGACCATCACTCAAAACATGCAAAGAAGGAGATTTTTTAAATCGCAGGATCTGACACTTCAGCTAGTTTGTAACCAGTGTACAAAGATAAGACTTCATTTATACTTGGCCTTTGGCTTCTATTAACTCTGGTGCCTTGAGCTATCATCAAACTAAGCAGCTTAACAGAGGTCCAAGACAGGTCTTCTCTGCTAATTAAGACGTGAGCGTTTCAGATAGTTGTACCTGCTGACAAAGGTCGTGTTACCCAAAAAATGCATTTTAAAACCATGGAAGAACATTACAGAATTTGAAAGCTTTTTGCAAAGGAGCTTATTCTAGCATTAAGCTTTTGAAGCTGCCTTTTATGTTTTCTTCTGAATTTAACGTTTATACATAAAACACAAACTGGCAAAATAGCACCATCACAACTAGCAAACTAATACATGTCTCTACCATTTTATGCAGTTACGGTTTACAGTTTTGTGTTTTCACACAGTTATTTTTATACCAACATTTCAGTAATGAAGGGCACAGTCTCTCATATACAGGGTTTTAACGCAGAGATGGTCACTGTGCTGGCAAATCTCCGCTTCTCTGCCACTTTCTTCCCAGGGAACAAGCAAAGCTTTCTTTTTTGCCTCATGGTACCACGCTTGCTCCATATTGCCTCCCACATTCTCATTGCACTTTGTGATCTCTCTCGATTTCTGAAATATCACTTAGTGATAAACCACACCTCTGAAATGTGTTATGAGTGAGAAAAGCAGTAGTGTTGCTCATTGTTCACGATCTGTGATGACTTTGGAAAATAAAAAAATGTAACTACTGTGTATAGAACATCATGGTGTACATATTCAAGAAAAAAATGTGGGGACTACTTTGAGATTTATGAATCTTATGCTGGCACAGTGAACCTAACCCCTAATTTTTCCCTACAGTTAAGAATTAATTCCATGTGGCTCTCAGGAAAGAAACACCCCTGTGCAAAACAAGGGAAAGGCGTATTTAAAATAGTTTAACCAGAGCAATTAGAAATATTAAAACGGACAAATCTGGGGTATGCCTTACAAAGGCCATTGCTGTACCTTCATTTTTTCTCGACTTCACCAAAGTGACTTTAGCTGGCCTCGGTGGCAGGTTAGAGGCCACAGACCTCCTGTCCGACCGGGGTGACAGGCTTCTCTCTCTGCTGGCACTCCTGTCCCTCCGGCCCCCGCTTCTCTCACTCCTCCGCCCCCCGCTGTAGGCGCTGGGGCCACTGCGCGCACTCCTCTCCTCGTAAACCTCGTCCTCGTAGCTGTCGTCCTCGTGTTCCGACATGGTCTCGCGCTCCGGGCGGGACACCGGGATCTGCACCTTCCGCTTCCTTCTTATCGTCTGTAACCAAACCAAGAACCTCCCAATGTAGTTTACGCCATGCTCGGTCGGAAGGGCAAGAGTACTTCTCTCGAATTATTTTGACACAATTAAGGCCAATTGGGTGCATAAGATCAAAGAAAGCAAACAAAAAAATACGCTGACGTCTGCAGTCCCAGCATGAGTAACAAAAGTCAAATAGCCTTACAACTAGGAAACGTGCACAAAAATTCATTGAAATTCATGGCAGGAATTCAAAAGATGAAATGCATGATTTCGAGGTGTGTGCCAAAGTCATCATTTTGGCCACATTCGAAGCTCTCCGAATCTCTGCAGGAACAGAGGACACAATTATAAGTGCTGCCACAGCACCTGCCCCAGCAAGATTAATTGTTTCCACCTTCTTCCAGGTTCTCTGAACAGCAGCTTCAACTATCAATTCAACATAACACCTCCATTGCTTACTGCATTATCTTTCATCTCACTGCTCTCAGTGCACAATCAGCAGAGCCCTGTTTTGACAAATAGACATAAAACCGCAAATGTTTTCAATGACAGTAAACACTCCTCCTTCAGACTACAGAATATCTACACCATTTACGTAGTCACTGCAGCTCTACTGAAGTCACAATTTGACCTAATCCGAGAACTGTAGACAGTTCTTATACCTAACCACATACTAATATTTTGAACTGATTATTCTTTAATAAAATAAAAACATGTAAATGTAATTACAGATGGCAGCTTCAGGGCATGTGATGTTTGTTGAAGAATGTAAGCTTGCAAAAATACAAATCATTTTCCAGTGAAGGACAGTCATCAGCCAAGAACTGATATACTCACTATTTTTGCATTCTTCCCACTTTTCCGTAGCTGCTGGACTGCGTACGCATGCTCTACATTATCCATGGAAACAGCATTAACCATGACCACTCGGTCATTTTCCCTTTGGGGAAAAAACAAAAAACACAAAGCAAATAGTTAAACAGCTCTGACCGCTAAACCTAATAAATCCTCACAGCTGAGAGGAAGATGGAAAATATCAAAAGACGTGTGTAACTTTAAACACTTTTTAAAGATTAATGTCCAACTGTGTAAAATTTAGTTAAACCTACATGAGAAGCTGTGTTTTTATCATTTTAAACGGGGTACATAAACTGGTCTGTTTGTGAGAGGGCAGCACTGTGGGGCAGTGGTTGGCATTGCTGCCTTACAGCACTGGGACCCTGGGTACAACTTCGGACCTGGGGTGCTATCCAGGTGGAGTTTGCATGTTCTCCACATGTCCACATGGGTTTCCTCAATGGGTTTTAACTCCAGGTAAGTTAACTGGCTGCTGGAAAATTGGCCCTGGTGTGAGTGTGTGCTTGTTAAGTCTGTCCCATCCACGAGTACCCTGTTTGCACCCACTGCATGCTGGGATAGGCTCTGGCTCTGACCCTGAAGCAGCTAGAAAATGGACGGAAGTGTTGCCGAGGTATTTCAGAGGAAGAGCCATTCATGAGTCACGTACAGCAGCACACATCTCCACATACAAGAACAATGTGCGTGCTATTTATCACGAATGAGGTAAAGAAAATTATTTACTGCACATGCTTAAGGTTTACTAAGTGTCGCAATGATTCAAAGCAAACCATAATGAAAGCTAATGCTATGACAAAAAATATATAATTCATTAAATGGCAATGGTCTAGGCTCAACATACACAGAAGTTAATAAACTCAGTTTTCTACATCAGTCAATCTTTTGAGGATCCAAATATGTTACCACGTTTTTTAATGACTGATCACCTTGTGCTGGATATCTTCCTACTTAATTGTGATTTTCCAGAATTTTTAAATTAGGTTTTCATTTCTGGCCTCAGTGCCTTTGTTTCCCAACTGCGTGGGCCCTGGCGCAGATGCTCAAGCACTGCTGTGTGGTGGCTATGGGCAGGAGCAGTACTCACTGTAACAGACCCTCGGCTGGACCTCCTTTCAGCACATCTGAGATCACGATGGAGGTTTCGCCGCTCTGAAAATGAGGGTTATCCCGACCACCCGAAATTGCAATCCCAAATCCAAACCCTGGCGCCTGTGGAGAGACCAAAGACGACAAAATCAGGTTTCCGTTACTTTTCCCGTTCTACCAAAAATGTAGCAGAAGGGAGGGCAGATGAATTTAAACTGTCAGTTTTAGCACGTTATTATACCCAAGTTAGATAAAACTGAACATCAATGAGCAAGAGAGACAAAAGCCATGTACTTCAGTGCCAGCTGCAGAGCACCTTATTCCTTCTTTAACATGGCAATTAATCCTGCCACATCCCGAACCTCCCACTGCAGGAAGGTGCTTATGCTCATTTCTCTCTGAGCCCGCCTGGCGAGGACAGAAAAGATGATGCCCAACAGGGAAATCCAAGACAACCAACACTTTAGGAACACTAATATGCCACATTTGATTTTGACTGCAAAAGCAAACAAAAAAGAACAGCCAATAAAAGCTGAATATACAAATATTTTAACAATTGAGGAAACTGAATGGCCCTCTAGTGTACTTATAATGAAGATCTTGCTCGGAACAAAGCCAGGCTTTGTTGAATGTGGACACCTCTGACATTTTACATTTTTAACTTAACTGTAGCTGCTTTGGATCACAGGCCTGACTGTAGTTTGTCTGCTCCAGACAATAAGAATTTGCACGTGGTCTGTTTCTTTTATATTCCATAATCCTTTCTTTAAAAAAAAGCCCTCACTAATTAGCAAAACTGAAAGACTGACAACCGGGCGACTGTGAAACTTTGTAACCACAAAGGTGTGGTACTGGGGCTCCTGCTCGAGGTTCAGATATGTGCAAACATGCTTTTCTTTCATGACAATATAAAAATACATTTGCTGTGTGATAAATATTTTTGTTTGGAAAGCATAAACAGTAATTAGATAATAACATGTTAGATGTTTACCAGCTGTGCTGATTATTTAAAAAAATGGTCTGAAAACAAAAGCAGGGTACTACAAATGAAACCTCAGATGTGCTGCAGTCGACATTTCACTTTGCTGATATGGGTTTTATATTCCACGTGAGAGGAATTACTTGGTAAGCAAAGCAAGCTGGTCACATCTCTCTTCAGTCATATCTGATTTTTCATTTTATAATATAGGAGTGCTTTGATGATTTCTAACAGCATTTCTCAATGACTAGTGCAGCAACAGTTCATGGCAGCCTTCTTGTACAACTGAGACTTAAAAAAAAACATTAAGGACTTAAGGATTGTATTGAATGATTTACAGTGGAGTGGAATGTTTGCTCTGCTCTGGAATGGAATGTCAGTAAAGTGTGAAGACCCCATTCGGCACATCTGGGTCATTTGTTTTTGTTAGGACTTAATTGGTCCAAGTATCTCAGTCCAGACATTGGTTGAAAGAAGCCAGGGTAACAGCTTCAAAAACATGGCTATGATGTGTGTTCCATGCTCTCATTGAGTACAAGTGCTTTCTGGTCACACTTTTAAGTGCACTTTCCCCATAGTTTCCACTTATGTCCTGCAATTTGTGGGGCTTTTTTTTTTTTTTACAATCTATGTTGCATGTAAGCCATAAAGTCCTGTTCGAAATACAAAATTTACAGTTACACATACAGTACAATGTTAGAAAATGACCATGCTCATTGTAAAATGTCAAACATTGTTTTTGATACACTGCAAGCCTGTAGAATCAATTTCTATCTGGTTGTCTAAATAGTTAAAAAATATTATTATCATTAAGTAGTTAAGGTAACGATCTCTCTCCACAATGCTGGTTGCTGCTTGGTACAGTAGTAGATACTTAAATATTTATATTTTGTCTGTATTAGATTTTCCTTTGGGATCTCAATCCATTTTGATTAAAAGCAGGATATTGTTAAATGTATATTTGATGTTGTTAGGCAACAATCTGGTAGACAGATATTGCCAAATGTTTAACAGTTATTTAAGGTATAGTGAATGCATATATTTGTTTCAAACAGCATATTTGCCATTTGTTTTGGTTCACTCGCAATGTAGTGCAGAGTGTATATGAAATAATGTTATGCTAAGTGATTCTGCATAGCAACAGACTTTTAGGTATATCATTTTGCACAGTGCAGTGCTTACCGAGTCCACAGAATCACAACTTGTGTCTGCCCATCTGTTTTTTGTTCAGGTCAATAATTTTCAGGTGTACGTCAGTTATTATTTAGGATTGCATCAATGACCATCCAATGTAGTAGTAAAAGAATTGTGAACTTTTCAGTAAATAAAACTATTAGCTTTTTGCAGGCAAAGCACTGCACCAAAACATGTCTGTGTGGCATTTACTTCCAATACCTATTTCAGAATTGCACTCAAACCATTCATTTGCATTCTGGTTGTTACCTCTACACAAATAGGGTGAGATTTAGACAGTTTAAATCTATTTAACCTCAGTGTGTTCACTATCCTTTCATTTCTAACATTTAAATTCAGACTGCATCGTTAAAACACTATATGCACACATCTGATTTAAAAACAGGCAAAAGTAGAGCCTGGACCTCGAATAAAGGTAAGCACCCTGGTGTCAGTTTAGAAAGGCATCACTGGCTTTTAATAAAATGAAGGGTAGGAAACAACTCTGCTTGATGCAATGTCATTCCAGCAACATAACACACAATAACATGTAGTGTGAGACAACATTCCTTTAGCTTTGGAAATCTAAACATGTTTAGATTGAACTTTAAACAGAAAATTCCGATGCAGACAAAGCCAATTCCTGGTGTTCCACACTTTCCTCTCGTTTCACTTGGGTCCAGCTCCACTCCAGCTTATCCATGGCACTGTTTCATCTTAACAGGTTTCTAAACACTGCAACAGACAATCCCTAGTCAAGCAGCTAAATCCAAAAATGAGGGATTACTGAGCGCAGTCCACTTCAGGCAGTCACATTCATTAAGCCTTCTTATCCGACTATGACACTGTTAAAGACAATCATACGTCTTCATCCCATCTTCATCAGAAAGGATTAATGGTAGACACACCCAAATTAAGACATGTCTTTATGTGAGAAGTTTATATCATTCCTACAGTATTTTTCAAACAGTGCACAGTCAATTATTTCTGCACGATTCTAATGTTTTCTGCTTACACCCCTTGTCTTACTAATAATCTATTCCATAAAAGCAGCTCCAGAAACACAAAACTGGCTGAGAGAAACATACAATAATTAAATCTTGTTAGAATATAAGCAGAATTGATTCTTACCATATGCTATGTGTTACACCTGATGAGAGAAAGTTGATGTGCAATAAAGTAAAAAATCAATAGCATGCAGTTAATCTTAGGGTCAAGATTAAAAAAAATATGTATTATATGAACTACTATTTAAGGTTAAGGTTGAATTCGCACACGTCTTAATGAAATAAAACTAAAGTTTCTTTCCCTGGCAATATGCATCACTGCCAACCCATGTAGAAAGTCCGAAAAAAGAGAAAAGCCAAACTACAATATAGTATCATCTTCGGTTTTTGTGTGTAGCACTTAATTCACCTCTTGTAGTTTTGAAGAGAAAAGATTGGAGACCATCAGTCAGAACACCTCACTTATTAACGCACAGATGACATGCTTGGACAGGATCAGGTGTGAACCTGAACCAGATGCAATTTTGATAACTTTACATTAAATTTGTACAATCACCACCCTGGCAATCAGAAAAAAAAAGAGTAATGGCAAAATGTAAATGCAGATCATCACTGGAGATCATCTTAACCAGCATTCTTCTCAAGCCCAAAGCCATGTAATGACTGGAAGATGAGATTAATATCTGTCAAGTGGAGTAAGAATGTAACAAAGGAATACTACAAAATGCCTCCTTTCCCTCCCTGGCTTCCTGACATCTGTTTTTTTTCTGCTATTGTGTGCATAGTCAGCCAACATCCTGAAGTTAGGTTAGAAGACAGCAAGTGCTGGCGATACTCACCCTGTGAAGGGTCACAGTGTGCTGTTCCCATATCACCGTTTCCTCCATCGCTGCACTCTGGGGGGGGAACAGACAAAGAACTGCATTAGAGATGCTTTCTCTCCAAACTTAATTCTTGCATTCTGAGGGTAGGTAGTGTTGAATGAAAGATGCTCAACAGTGCTGTCTTCTCAAAAACACACACTGCTTAGTGATATGTTGCATAAGACAAGAGTGAGAAACTTTCCATTCAGCCTCAGCTCTGGAGTCATTTGACATACAAGAAGTGATGCACCCTCTGTCTTTACTGACTTTTGAAAACAAACCACATTTCAGAAACATTTTCTTAATTGGAGTCTTAAAATAAGTCTCAAAACATATTTTAAGACATATTTTATAAGGAAATAAGGACTTAAAATAAGCCTTTCCTTATTTTCTGAGAAAAAGATGCTGAAAGCTACGTTGCCATTGCCTTAAAATTTTTTAGCTGAAGTAAACTCACTTTTGGCAAGAAAATGATATTGCAGTAGCTGAGTCTGTTCACAGTACAAAATATCCAGAAAATTCACTTTCATTTAGGCAAACCTGAAATTGTCTTAATGTACCTTTAAATGTTACCATACCTGAAAACTGTGTTTCTGCAATATACTCAGGGGGGCAAAGGTATCAAATGAGCTAGCTTTGCTTGCTTGCGTATTTTCACCCGCAGGAATGAAGCATGATTATATATGTGGCTCGTGGCTATACTGAACCTATAAACAGCCTGCAACAGCTAATCTACACAACAAAATTATTCACTCAATTCTACACCTTCCCATTTCCTGAGAAACACATCCATGGTCTCGGATAATGAGTGTGTTGTGTTTTTTCACCCTGTGTAATGTGTAGCATTATCTTTGTGAAAAAGCTGCCTACATTGTTGTCCTATACACTACAGCCTACCTAAGTGGGATGGTTTGTTTGCACACCAGTTCTGCAATGCAGCTATTGCAAGATGAATACCTGCGAGAGGGTTGTGTACTACAAATCCACACATGCCAAAGACACTTATTTTCTTTCCATTTTTAAAATTCAGAATTTGAGCATTGGATAGGTCCTGAATTTGCCCTCATATTTGTGTGGTTTATTTTTAGGCACCGGTAGGGTACGTTTCAATATAAAAAAAAAACACAAAACAAATTTTAGTCTAATTTTTAACTCTTGCATGTTTGGGTAAGTTATAACAAGCTCTCAGCCTGGCTGGGGAGGCAGAGAATAAACCCTTAAAGCTATGTCACCACGACTCCTAGGACCTGTGCATTGATATAGCAGCAGGCATCACTGAATTATTAATACTAACTGGGCTTTACTATGCAAATTTAATAAGCATGCAGTGTGTCATTCATGTCAAAATTAATGCAGTGCTATGCAGGAATCCAGATTATTTCTGGTTTATAGTACATGTCCTGTAGCTATAAATAGAACTCATGCTCGACTTGAACTGCAGTTCAGGCTAGGTAAATACAGTATTGCTTGTTTCATCAGAACACTGTCTTTGTGGATCAAACGGGCTGTTTGGGAGCAGCATGAAATTAATATAACAACGTTTTTGGACACATAAAAGGTATTTTGTATGAAATGAGATGAATGGCCTCCTCTTTTGTTTGTAAACTGTTCTTATGTAAAAAACTCTCAAGCCACAACACCTAAAGCAAATGAAATCGCGCTACAAAGGGAAGTTTGTGATGGAAGCAGTGAAATTCCAGGTTGCCCGACTACACTTGAAGCTAAAAGAACAGGAAAGGCACAGTGCAGTCACAGTGGATCAATGGGCCTTGTCAGTTAGAATGGCAGCTGTCAGGCACACAAGCTCGGAAGGGTTGAGTTTAGACTGCAACTAATTATAAGACCGTCACTTCAGCAGGCTCACCCTAACCAGTTATAAAAGACTCAGAGAATGAAAGTCAGAGATGGCACAAAAAGAGAACTGCCTATTCTAAATGTTGAAAAGAAGAAAAAACATTTTTCATGATTTGGGTCAGAATTAAGCTTCCGGTTTTGTGAGCAGAGTGCTCAAAGCTTAGGTGGTACCATGGTATATTTACCCCACCACTACCGCCAACACTAACTGCAACCATCCTAAATGCTGACTAAATCTTAAGGCATTAATAACAGGACAGATGCAATGACCACAGCAATTATTTTGTTTTTAACCTACAAAAGAAATTGTACATCAATTTAGACTTAATGATACCAGTTTCTGTTCAAACTTCAAGCCATACCAGTAATTTAAGCAAACACTACAGTTTTAAAGATTTTCACAAAAGGCTCAATTGAAGACTAAAACTGGAGTACGTAACCTGTGCCACCCCACCTCCAACCCCCCCAATATACTGCCTTCAATTTAGATAATGTTTGGTCTGTGCAAGCTGAACTAACATTCAGTGGTTATAAAAAGAAGTTTGATATATTCTTCTATTTTGGTGATATGCCCAGACAGATTTTAAAGACCTATCCTTAGCAGGGCTATGACAGGTCACAACACTTTTCATTAGTGTTAAATCAAAATAAGCTATGCAACAGAGAAGTATTCTCATAACTTTTCACACTGGATCTCTCACTAGAATGCGGTGTGGATAGTTGAATAGGGCTGCCTTAATTCAAGTCTTTGTTGTCATCTAGTGCTACATAGAATGGGGTTGAACATACTGATTAGAAATAAAAAGGTTTGCCACCAGAAACTTTCCAATTCCTTTGAGGTACATCAACAAGATACTTAATTACACCGCTCAAGTATTGAACTTGTAGCTACAACAAAGATTCCAGCACAGCACTAGAGCTGCATGGGTTGCAATTATTCACATTGATTTTTCTGGCAGGGGTTAGAATAATGCTGAATGTGTTAATTTAGCACTTCAAACTAAAGAACAGATGCAGGAATTTGCATCAATACTTACTGGAAAGAAAATTAAAGAAACTGCTTCACCTGACCACAGAGGAAATTAATTCTTCTCCCAAACCTATTGTTATTTTTTCCAACATCAGTTACTCAAAAGCAAATCTTTTCTGATAAATTACATAGTCACTTTGAGAACTGACAGCTCATACAGAGATCAAACAACAGAAATTACAGTACATGTTCTTTGATTACAGTCTCTAATGTAATCCTGTTCGATCACTTACACTTCCTACAAGAAAATCATTCTGAATTGCTGATCAACAAAATACCACACCCAGCTGTCATAACTGAACTTCTCATACTCCTATATTACTGTAACTAAACAAGGCCAGTCCACTACTGCACAACTAATTCAACAAACCTGCATTTACACTACAATCCATCTCTTAGCAGTAACTATTTTAGTTTGGAGCAGGTCTCTTCTAAACCTGTATGGTAGGAACTTAATCGGAAAGGAAAGCTTTAAATGTTAAAACAGGCGAATTTCCAATTGACCAACACAGATCTGTGATTCCTACAGAATAAAGGCAGGTTAAGCACTGGCTGATGGATGATTACAGCTGAATTTAAACTGCTGATTATCTCTAAATTAGCAGTCTGATGGAAAAAAGGTGATGCAACATTCTTTTTTTTCCCCATCAACAAATAATTTTCATCCTCATCAGAAATTTTATCTGCATAAATCAAACCATATAATGTAAAGCTTCTATGCAAGAAATTATCCTGAGGTGTAACTTAAATCCAATCCATGAATTAAACACAATAATTCATTTGTCACCTCCACAGATGGGGGCTAACTGAAAGCCCCTGCTATACAGTGTGTGGACAAATAGGCAACCTTGAACGTGTGTTATCAGCCTGCAGTGTGGCACTAGGGCAAGGCAGGTACCGGTGGAGCCATGATAAGGTACTCAGGGCACTAGCCTTGAATTTGGATACATTTAGGAAAAGCATGAAACCTCAATTACCATGATCCAACATCAGCTTTATCAAGGCTGGACAAAAGAGCACAGCACTTGCTGGAGTTAGACCTGCCAGCATCCTTCAAAGACACTTTAGCAGAGATTGGTCGAATAATGCAGCAAAGAATGAAGCAGGAAGAATTCAAATCTTTATGCATGATATTCAACCCTCCAAAAAATCTGTAAATCTGTAAATATACTGAAAGCAAATATTGAAGAAAGAAACAGAAAAATCCTTCACAAACAGAACCTCTCTGAAAGTCTGTTCCCAGTTATTAAATTTAACCCCTCGCCCTTGAATTCCATGGCAACTCAGTGTTGGTATAATTTAATGATCAACGTGAGCACTCCCTATACCTGATGTAGAGTGGGCATTCAATTCTCTGGCTCTGTGCCTGCAATAATTAGTCCTTCTCTGCACTTAAGACCTTAACCTATTTTAAGGCATCTATCACTTAGCGAAGTTGCTTGAGGTGGTAAAGGTCATGTTAAGATGGCACGTCAGGAAACACCTGCATCCTTGTGACACCCCCCACCAGGGCCTAATGGAACTAATCTCAACTGTATGAGCTAGAGCCAGTTGTCATGTTTCAGTCATAACTGCACCTGGACAGCAGTCAGCTGCTACAGAAATTACAGAAAAATCCAAATGTAACTAGTGCTAATTAGCGGTAGCCCTTAGCTGAGCATAGCTGAAGGTGGGATTACTCGGACAGAGCGCTCTCAGCTCCGGGCAGCACAGCAACCCCTGTGGCTTCCCAGGAGTCCGCATGCATGTGTTGAGGGAGAATGGCGTTTTACCATTCGGTGTGAAATCCTCATTACAGGGCTGTAGTGCCTGTGATCTGAGCTATGTTACGTGATACGAACTGCTCAGTGGTGGGAGGGTCAGAGGAGTCTGCCCACGCTTCCTCTTTCTCCCCTGCGGGCTGTTACATGGTTTGTAGGTGCGAACTGGGACATCAGATTCATACAGCTGTCCAATCCAAATCAAACTGGTACATCAAAAATAAACTGGCAAATCTAAAATAATAAACCACTGCTATAGATCAGGAACAGCTCCCTAAAGGAGAAGAACTCAGTGGAGCAGGGCAGCCGCCCAGACACCCCACCGCCATGGCTGTAAATAACGTCAGCCCTCTCTTCCTTTCAAACGCCTTCTCCTTTCCAGGAGAATT